TGTGGCCCAGGCCTGCCATGACTGCACATCGGCTCTGGCCACGAGCTCTGCCTGGGCCCACACATGCCCGTCCTGTGGCTTCTCCCAGGGACTTCCTCGTGGCCAGCCGAGGCCCGTGGATATGGTCCCCCCAGCTCTCTTGCACTGCAGGCCCCAGAGCAGCCAGCACACGCCACGTCCTTCTGTCTCAACACTGACTGCCGGGCTCTGCCCCTGGGGTGACGGCCCCACAGTCCCATAGCGACCACCACACTGTGCCTTATGTCTGCCGGGAGGCCTGAGCTGCGCTGTCCCCACAGCATGCCTCCCGCAGAGCCCTACACCCCGAACCTGGGGTGAGCAGCCTCGGTTGGCCCCTGGCAGAGGGTCGAGGATGCAGACACGCCCTCAGTGTGGGGCAGGGGACACCGAGGAGAGAATGGACATCCCTGGGGAAGGGCCCCTGGAAAGCCTTAGCCCCTCAGGGAACGGGGTCCCGGGCCCCAGGGGATGTGGGACAGGATGTCTTTCTCGTGGCTGCTGGGCTACTGCAGCTGTGCCCGGAGGGAAGGTAGCGGGTGGTGCTGGTGCTCTTTTTAGGCCCACCATGCTGGGAGAGGCCTGGGGACCCCACGCTCAGAGCTGGGCCACCCAGAAGACCGCTGTGACAGGGTCGCCGTGATATCCCATTAAACCTCCACTCTGAAAATGACCTCCCAGCGTATTCACCCCGGCCTTTGTCCTTCTCATCTGCCTGAGTGCTCTGGGGCGAGGTCAGGAGCTGGTCGAAGCCCATCCTCAGACACATAGGCCCCTAGCCAGAGGCAGGAGGATGCTGGATGGGGCTGAGGGTCTTCTCTGCACTCCAGCCACTCCCGGCCATCTGACTCTGCCCTGCAGCCTCCGGGCTCTAAGGACCAGCCTTCCCAGCTCCTAGGCCAGGCCTCTGGGCGCCCCATTCGACCCTCAGATACCAAGGCAAAAGTAGGCCCCTTGTCACCACCCTTTGGGCCTTTCTCAGCGGTGGTTCCCCACCCCAAAGGAGTAAAAGGGAGAGGTGAGTGGTGGGGTGTTTCCTCAGAGGAGCAAGACAGGGTGGGGGCAGGGCTGTGATGGCCACAGAGTAGGTCCTGAAGAGGCTGTGGTACAGAGGGGATCAGAAGCGGCACTAAGGTTGGGGACTCCCACTCAGGCCGTCACCAAAAGAACGGCTGAGCTGTGGGCTGTGGCCATGATGCAGCCACTGAGTTTATAGGGTGGCGGCTGGGCTCAGGCCAAGAGAGCAGCAATGCTATCTGGTTACAGGTCTCATGCCAGGATTACATGCTCTGGTACAAAGTGACATGTTACCCAGCCCACTAGCCAGATTCAGGCCCAGAGCTTCCTTTTCACAAGGGGCCAGGACAAGGTGGGACTGGAAATGGCAGGCCAGCAACCCTGGTGTCACCACATCCAGCCCCCAGGTCACCAAATGTCCCATTGACTTTTCCCTGCACTTCAGACTTCCCCTCCCCTGGAGGTCCCCCTCCCCCCCCCCACCCCCGCAACCCAGTTGTGGCACAAGCCCATACCCAGGGTCTCGGGTAGTCTCCAGGAATGGGGGTCCATGTACCAGCCTTGCACCAGGGCCGGGTGGGGCTTCACTCAACCCAAGGACATTCACCCTCCCTACAGGGAACAGAGACCAGGCCACTGCAACAACATCCTGGGGGAGGAGGACAGAGAAGGTGCCTAGCAGCCCCTGTCCTGCCAGGCAGGTGCTGCAAGAGACCCTGTCCCGGGAACGGGCAGCTCTGGGGCCTTGGCTCCACCCTCAGGGGTCCATCCTCATCCTGTCTTCTTGGCCTCCTGAACATGGCTCTGACCAAGAAGCCCTCCTTGGGGGTTGCACTGCTTCTCAGCCTCTCCTTTGCCAAGGCTGTGTGCAAGTCTCTAGTCCCAAACTTTCAGTCCTGGCTCTGAGTTTCTTTGGCAGTTCAGTTCTCACAAAGTGGTGGCCTCAACATGCGCTTGGTTCCAGTTCTATGGGCCTGCAGCCCTCCTGGATGGTCACTGCTGAGAGGGGCTCCACCCTGCCAGCCTCTATGGACTTTGGAAAGCTCAGAAGCAGTTCTCAGCTGTCAGAACAGAAGTGACCACACCCATATCCTTGATGTTGTCCTGGACCTTGATCTGCCCTCTGGGGCCAGCAGGGTGCTCTTAGCCTGGGGGTCCCTGCGTCCCTAGCTTTTCTCAATCCTTTCCTCCCAGCTTACAAACCCAGAATACTTTTCCAACCATCTTTTCTTAGTAGTATCTTCCCCAATGCAGCCTGGGACCAACACGTGCTAATGTTTCCCAACCTCTTCACCAGACCAAGTTATTTAGGACGTCATCGGTCTCATGAGCCATCACAGCTGTTTTCCCACAAGTTCCTCGGCTGCAACATTCCTGCTTTCAGTAATGGGCCCCAGCCAGCCCCCAAGCCGGCAGCACACATCCTGGGTATTAGAGTAGCACCCTCGCCAAGGGATTGCTTTCCATACCACGCAGGCTAAAGTACACTCCAGCAACAGACAACTCTGAGATACCAAGATTTCAGCCTCCCAGGTTTATTTCTCACTTGTGCTATTTGTTCACTTCAGGCCAACAGTGGGGTGGGGGCTTCCTGGCACTGGGTCCTCAGGGAACCAGGCTGAGGGATGATAGTACATCTCAAACATTCCAGGCACCTAACCACAGATAAACAAGAGGCTCACACTGGTGATTGGACACGTGGGGACCATGCACCCCTTCTGTTCATACTGGCCTCATGCAACCACTACCACCACATATATTGTGGGACAGAGAATGGAGTACTGAGGCAGTAGGAGGGTGGTGTCGATGGAGCTGGGGGAGGGTTTGTGAATATCAGATCTGCTGGGGCCCAGGGAGGTGGGACCTAGACCAGATGGCTTCCAGGAGGCAGGATGGAGAGTTGAAGCCTGAGGAAGGGTGAGGGAGATGCAATTTGCATGTAGAGCCTGCACTGCCCGCAGCCGCTTGGGGTCCGAGGGCCCAGATAAGGTTTCCTGTGTCCCACAGGCCATGTCTTGTGCAGTCCAGGCTCATCCCTGGGGTGCTTCTCTCTCACCACCCCCCCCAACTTTTACTAGTGTGAGTCCCCCTGTTCTAGGCCAGATGCCTTGGGCAGAACTGGGAACTTTCGACCCAAAGATCCGGCTCACGGGAGAATCAGTGAAGTATGAGAGGGAGAGCCACTCAACACACCAAACCAACAGCTGAGCAGCCAGCCAGTCGAGGAATCAGAAGAGGACTTTACAATCCAAGGCGTTAAAATCTCAGCCACACGCGGGGGCTGGAAATAAGCCATGGGACAGGGATAGGCATTGGTGAAACAACGGGAGTGTGAAAGAACCTGCCAGAGACCTTGAAATGTTTTAAGGGACAATTATTAAAAATGAAAAGCCAGTAAATGGTCACAATGAAGACTGGATGCATGGGCTGGAATAGCAAGACAAATGCTAGAGTTAGCAAGGGGGCTCTGAAAAGGGAAAGTATACAGGAAGTTGTCAGAGGATTTACTGAAGACCTGAGAGTCATAGGGAGACAGAAAAATCCACACAAAAAAGGCGTCCTCACTCAACATGTCCTTCATTCCACACCCAGGTGACTTCTCTGTTGGCCCTCACCCACCCGGATCCCAGCCTCATTTCCTTAGCCACTGACTTGCCTCCCCTTCCCTCTTACACCTCCACATCCAGGCTGAGACACCTGCAGCAGCCATGCCCTGGGCAACTCACATACCCAAAAGGTATTTTCCTGACACAGACTTGCCTTTATTTAGATTCTATTTAGAAGAATCTGATGTTAGCTCTTAAGGCTATGCATTTTTCCTACTTTCTGTGGACTGTGAGAAAGAAGGGCTCCTGGTCGCTGACTGGGCTCAAATTTAAAACAAACAGAGCCTAACGGCCATTTCTAAACTGAGGCCTCTCATGAAAACTGCACTTCAGTGAGCAGCCTGCACTCAACTACCTGCATTTGCACTGAGCTGCCTGCCTGCACCATGCCTGCCATCTGAGCCAACCCTTGGAATCCTATTTCGACCAACAGGACTGAAGCTTTCCCAATCCAATCAGAACTGCACAGCAATATCCCATCAGCTTCTTTATTGACCGATCAGAGCAGCTCCATTTTGATCAATCGGAATAGTGCCTTTGGGCCAATTGAATCACAAAAATTTGGAGTCCTCATTTGCATGGGGATGAAACACTCAGGGACCAGGGACAGGGACCTGTGTTGGTATAAGCCAGCTCTCCTATGGCTCAGAGAGGGCACTTTTTAAAAAAATATATTTTATTGATTTTTTTACAGAGAAGAAGGGAAAGGGATAGAGAGTTAGAAGCATCAATGAGAGAGACATCGATGAGAGAGAAGCATCTATCGGCTGCCTTCTGCACACCTCCTACTGGGGATGTGCCCGCAACCAAGGTACATGTTCTTGACCGGAATCGAACCTGGGACCCTTCAGTCTGCAGGCTGATGCTCTATCCACCGAGCCAACCCGTCAGGGCCCCGGGCCGTCTTATTCCCACGAACCCAGCACGCAGCAACACCTGCAGACCAGTCCACTGCTCACTACTCTCCCGCCCAAGCGCGTCTTCCATTGGCTCCGCCCACAAAGGCGGGCCCGCCCCCGAACGCCGGAAGGAGGCGCGTTCTGGGAGGCAGCGCTGCATGCTGGGATCGGTGGTTCATGGTGCGGCCTCGGCCGAGGCGGCTTCTTCGCTCCCTTCAGCCCTCATAACCCGCGAGTCCAAGCGGTTCCGACGCCCTGGCCCGACCCGCACAGGCCCAAGGACAAGACGCCCGCCAGCCTCGCCGGGGGTGAACCTCGGCAGGAACAGTTCCGGGGACCTTTGGCCCGGAAGGAGAAGTGCCGCCGGGGCGACGGCGCGCGTCGCGAGAGGCGAGCTTGGAAGCCACGCCCTCGGGAGCTCGGCCCACCGAGCGGCGGCGCTCGGCGGCGTCCGCGCAGCGGCTCTGACACGGTGGAGAGCCTAGCGGAGCCTTGGAGCGTCGGCCAGTCCGGGGACCGGCAGCCGACTCGGCCCCTCGCGGGGCTGCGCTCCCCCTGGGCCCCGCTCGGCGCTGGGGCGCGGGCTGCATATGGGAGCCCGGGGCGCCCAAGATGCGCGCGCCGGCCAGGGAGCTCTTCCGGGACCCCGCCTTCCCTGCCTCGGACTCCTCGCTCTTCTCCAGCTTCTCCACGCCGCTGGCCCAGTTCCGGGAGGACATCACGTGGAGGCGGCCCCAGGTGAGCGGCTGGCGGGGTCTCGGTTCAGGTCTCTGCCTCGTGTTTCCTGCCGGGGTGCGAGCGCGGAGGCCGGCGGAGCGGCCGGCTCGGGGGCCGGGGTCAGCCCGGTCTGGGCGCGCGGTGGCCCGCAGGGTCTGCCTGCTGCCCTCGGAGCGGGTTCCCAGGCTCCCTACCCCACTTGGTGCTCCCTCCGAAGCTTATTCAGGATGCGCTAAGCCCCGAGCTCGGGGTCCCCGCCTGTGAGCGCAGTTCCGAAGGGGATTGAGGCACCGCGGGAGGGGCGTGTCAGCGGACACCTACCCAGCCCCACCTCCTGGCTTCCGCTCTGAAGGGCGTCTCTCCAGCCTTCGCTTCTAGTTTGCTTGGCTCTTCTGTTTCTTGTGTCTGCTTGTGTGTCTGCTGATCTCATGCTCTCGTGGAAGGGCCAGGATGAGCCTCTGGAGCAAAGCCACTCTGCTCTGCAGATTTCTCTTTTGGACTTAGTGCACCCGCATTTCCCGATGTAAACATTGTAAGGTGGTCACTTAAAGGGATGCTCTGGCCTAGGGTCATGTTGACATCTTTAGAAATTGTTTGTCTGCTGAGAAGACTGCCCTGGGAACAAGCCTGCCTCCCCAGGGTGTAGGTGGCTGCCAGAACTTCCGGGCTCTGGTGATCCAGGTGCCTTTCTGGGGCAGCACCGCGAGGGCCTGTTTGGCCTGGGAGGAGCCAAGGCATGAAGAGCTTTATAGGCCACACGAGTGGAATTTGGGTAAAAATGGACGTTAGTTGCAATGGGAGGCCAGTAGAGGGTTTTTTTAGGGGAGTGATTTAGCTGGGCGTGTGTTTGAAGAAGCTCACTCTTACTGCCTGTGGGAAGTGGATGGTCAGGGCAAGAATGCCATTGCAGTGGTCCTGAGAAGGACGAAGGGGCTTAGATTAGTGTGACAGCCTTAGCACTTGATGGGTCTTAGTGACCGATTAGAAGTAGAGGTGAAGATAATGACTTCTGGGTTTCGAGCCTGAGCACCTGGGTGGGTGGTGGTCCTATTTGATGTAGGGGAAGGGGGAGGGGGTGGAAATCTAGGGTTGGTTTTGCTCTCACGTGTGAATTGGTGCTGTCAGTGGGCAGGTGGATGTGAGAGTTGGGAGTTCAGGACCACCCGGGTAGAGGCTCGATCTGGGAGTTGGGACTGTGACTGGTGGCTTACGGGCCAGGGCCTGGAAGACAGTGTCAGGTAGAGGAGGAGGAGGACTCGGAACTGAGCCTGGAGGGGCTCTAACATTTCCCAGTGGGGTCAGCAAGTGCCGGGACAGGTATACTTGAGAAGCAGCAGGCAGTGAGGTGAAAGGACACCCAGGAGTACATGGAGTCATGGAAACCACCAGAGGGCTGCTGGGGTTAAGGGACAGCACTCCACCACCCCCTCCCTTCTCTCTCTCACACACACAAACCACACACACACTGATCTGATGCTGTGGAATCCAACAGGACACTGATGCCTGTTGCGTTTGACAACACGGAGGTGACACTGGTAAAGAAGGCTTGGGGGTATGAAGCTGCAGGGGCAGGGGATGGGGGGAAGTAGTGACGGCAGCTCTTTCCAGAAGTTTGTCAGTGAAGGGAAACCTAGAGGGGAAGTAGTGCTGAGGGGCAGTGTGGTAGAGAAGACGGAGATTCTGCTGTGCCTTATGCTGGAGGGATTCTGCCCGAGTAGGTGGCAGAGGGAAGGGGTCTCAGGAGGAATGCAGGCCTGAGCAGGAGAGAGGGCAGGTCAGGTGGCTTCTAATGAAGCACGAGGCGAGGACATTTTGAGAAGAGGGAGAAGAGGAGGCCTAAGCTCACCCAGGCTGTGGGAAAGTGAGCCTTTTAGAGAAACAGTAGGATTTCCAGCAGTATGGAGGACCCACTCAGGATTCACCATTATGAATTTAAAGTGAAACCATTTGCTCAGGTAGCTCCGCTGGTTAGAGCATTGTCCCAAAACACCCAGGGTGGGGGTTCGATTCCCAGTCAGGGCACATACAAGAATCAACCAATGAATACATAAATAAGTGGAATAACAAATCAATGTCTCTCTCTCCCCTTTCCCCCTTCCTCTTTCTCTGTAAAAATCAATAAGTAAAATTAAAAAATAATAAAGTGAAGCCAGTTTCTAGATGAACATTTAGCTGTTTCAAGAAGGGAGGTGGTAGCATTTATTCAGAGTTGGGTGTTTTGTCAATTAAGGAATGTGGACAGTCAGGGACCCCATAATCTAAGCTGGACAGAGTGACCTGAAACCAGGAGGGGCTGACAGATAATGTCTGCAGAAAGCCAGCTGCTTCCCTTCTCCTGTTAGGCAACATGGATAAGCAGAAAAGCTCCTCCCAGCCTGTCACCTAGATCCTGTGTTCTCTATTTTAAAGACTAGCATGAGGCATGATGTAACTGTGGACAATGTTCTTTCTTTTTAGGAAATTTGTGCTACGCCCCGGCTATTTCCAGATAACCCACAGGAAGGGCAGGTGAAGCAAGGGCTTCTGGGGGACTGCTGGTTCCTGTGTGCCTGCGCCGCCCTGCAGAAGAGCCGGCACCTCCTGGACCAGGTGTCTGTGATAGTGCAGCTTTCTCTTCTGCTGTCTTCCTGTCTGCTGTGCCCAGGAAGGAAGGAAGAGGCCAGGCAGCTGAACCCCTTGTTCTGTGGGGCTCTGCTGCAGCTGCTCAGCATGGCAGTGGGGAGCTCAGCTGTCAGGCCACAGGGGCTCCCAGGCACAGACGCGGTGTCCCCTCTCCCGCAGCAGTACTTTCTGCCCCGCTCTGCCAAACCCCAAGCCCACTTACGGAGTCAGAGCCATGCATCTGAACTAAAAAGTCAAACGTGCCAGCCTAGACAGGAAAGGGTTGGCTGAGGGACCTGTGACCTGGTTGGAATTAGTGTCCTTAGCTAGATAACTTCTTAAATAGGTTTTAAATATAAATTGGCAAAAGATGATTGAAACTCTTTCTGACAGACACCACAGGTAAAGAAGGCCTGTTCAGACTCCCTCCCTGGACTGTTGATGGCCTCTGTTTGGCTTCTTGCTAAGTATCACCAATGAATGCAGCAATGTTCATTGACAGTGAACACCCCATTCAGAGCGCCTCCTGGGCCCCAGGCCCCATGCTAAGTAAGCGCAGCACATCGCTGGCTTTCACTCTCACAGGCCTCACCCGCTGTGACCCATTTTCACCAATGAGGGCACTAGAACCATTGTCACTGTTTTCTGGCTAGTGAGTGGCAGAGCCAGGACCAACTTTCACTCTCACAGGCCTCACCCGCTGTGACCCATTTTCACCAATGAGGGCACTAGAACCATTGTCACTGTTTTCCAGCTAGTGAGTGGCAGAGCCAGGACCAACCATGTTGTCTAGATGCACAGCCCACACTGCCTCTCGGGTCAAAGCAAACCTGGCAGTGAACATGGATCCAGGTGCTGGCAGAGGTCCTGGGCTTCAGGCGTCTGCAGGAGGGTTGCTATGCCCATGGCAACCTGCCATCTGCAGCCAGCTCTGCTGAGAATTGGGTCTCATGCTTCTAAAAGTCACATTTGTTTTGGATTCAGGTCAAGGGCTTATTTGGGACATTAGAGCATAATGGTTGACTTTAAGCTTTGGGAGACACTGGCTTCCTCATTATGGTCTTAGAATATTTTATTGAGAAGTCTGGATTTTCAGTCCAATGGTTGGTTTTCCAAGGCATGGAATGAGGGCAGATCCTTTGCAGACCGCAGGGTACTGTGGGACGATGCAGTGTGGTCACACTGGTTAGCACGCTGGGTGGGCGCTGCGAGATGTTTGTCTCATGGTCTCCTTTTGCCTTTCCCTGTGCACGGTAGGTCTTTCTTCCGGGACAGCCGACCTGGCTCGACCAGACATACCGTGGCTCCTTCACCTGTCGAGTTTGGCAGTTTGGACGCTGGGTGGAGGTGACCATAGATGACCGTCTGCCTTGTCTTGCAGGGAGACTCTGCTTCTCCCGGTGCCAGAGAGAGGATGTGTTCTGGCTTCCATTACTGGAGAAGGTCTATGCCAAGTACGTGTGCTGGAGGCTGGCGGGCTGGGCCATGCCACCTTAGACTGCCCCCGGGAGCATGTTTCCGCTCTCCCTCGCTGCAGAATCCTGTCGTTTCCAGGCACTTGGCGGCAGGTCCTGGGGTGGGGCTGACTGGTCTGGAGATGGGAACTCTTGAGGCTTGGCCTGTGGTTTGCCTCCCTCTCCCTGCCCTTATTTCACAGCTGGGCATGAGGGAGGGTATGTGTTTTCTTCCTTTCTCTTTCCTCAAACCCCAGCAAGAAAGATGTTTCCATCTATTTGTTTTTCACCCCTGGGGACAGGCTGCCTCTCTGCAGGTTGTTGGGGAAGAAAGAGGCCAGCTAGATATCAGCCTTTTTATCTGGTCCTGACTGAGCCCAAAACCCTCATGCAGAGTGAATCGAGGCCCTTCCCTCCTAGAATGCATTTACCATCTTGCTGACAGTGAACTGATAGGCAGGCCTTTGCACCGAGGACAGGAGGGAGGCCTGCTGCTGACATGGGTTGGATCCCATCAGACGGAGTGGATGTCACAGCCTCTGCCCACGTGCCTCACGCTTGTGCCCACACTGGCAGTAGAAGAGGTTTTGCACATAGGCAGCGGCGGCTGGGCTTTGCTGGGACACTGAATGTCAGCTGTGAAGGCGTGATTGCTTCTGGCTGTGGTGAGGGCGAGGCAGCAGGAAAGAAGCGATTGAAGCCGGGTGGATGGGATCACAGGATGATTTGGAGTGTCATAGACCAAGGGGATAGAAGAGAGGCAGGGTGCTGCTCCCCTTGCCTGAGGCTCATTCCTGTGTCTGTCTTGCAGGGTCCATGGGTCCTACGAGCACCTATGGGCAGGGCAGGTGGCAGATGCCCTGGTGGACCTAACCGGTGGCCTGGCAGAAAGGTGGAACCTGAAGAACTTGGCAAGCAGCAGAAGCCAACAGGATGGGTCTGGCGGCTCAGAACCCAAGACTTGTTGGCAGCTGCTCAGCCTCAAGGAGCGGTGTCTGATCAGCTGCTCAGTGTTCAGCCCCAAGGCAGGTGAGGCAGTGGTCACCCAAAGGGCCTACACACATGCACCCTCAGATCCTGTAAGCAATCCCTGAGGCCCTGTCTGCACTGAGTAGAAAGGGGACATTTGTCTTCCCAAGCTGGTGTCTGGCGTGTGAACTTGTTCTGCTGTCTGCCCCTCTCCAGAGGGAGGGGTCCCTTTTCCCTTGACCAGGACTTACCTCCAGGGCAGGCAGGTGCCTGTGTGAGGTCACCGCTATGCAGAGATGGCCTAGGAAGCATGTGGTGGCACCATCTCTGGCTCAGCTGGCAACCTGTGAAATCAGCACTCAGGTTTCCACTATAGTGATATGTATGTTCATTGAAGAAGTGTTGTTGAAAGGAAAAACTCCCTCAAACGTAGCTACCTTTGACTTTTTAGTATGCTTTCTCCGTTTTTCATAAATGTACCTTTTGCATTCTGCATCCTAGATCATTTTCTATGTTACATAAACTTTGTCAACTTATTGCATTAGTGGATCTGCCATAGCTTCTTTCATCTTTCCCTTCATGTTGGAAGTTTAAGGTCTTTCTGATCTTATGCTGTTATAAATAACAGCATCTTTATGCATACAAGTATCCTATTTAGTATTATTTCCACAATGGAATTTTATATATATATTTTTTAATTGATTTCAGAGAGGAAGGAGGAGAGAGAGAGAGATGACAGAGAATCATTGATCAGCTGCCTCCCGCACACACCCTATTGGGGATCGAGCCTGAAACCTGGGCATGTGCCCTGACAGGATCAAACTGTGACCTCCTGGTTCATAGCTCGACACTCAACCATTGACCCACACCGGCCAGGCTACAATGAATATTTTGTCAAAGACTATGAACGTTGAAATAAATTGGCTCTTGTTGACAATTATGCTACCCTGGTGTGTGTGTGAGGGTTGGCACAGGCCTGGGACAGGCTCCTCCCCTTAGGGTGGGCTAGACATGGGCTGCTAGAGGTCACCTGGACCCCACTAAAGTGGCAAGGGGCTGGGGACGTGGGTGGCAGCTTCAATGCCATTCTGAATAAATCATTTAGAGACAGTCCAGGAGTTTCTTCTGTTTGCGTTGGACCACCACCCCTCCTCTCCAGGTAGGTGTCATCCTGTTTGGCTCCTTCTATGTCTTCTGTCTCTGGTCTCAGGGCAGGTGGAGTCATTTCTCCTCGGACCTCCAGTCCTCCCACTGCCCATCCATCCCCTGCCTCCCCAGTTGGCATTGCCAAGTGATCTCCCTTTTCTCTTGGTGGTCACAGACTGTTGATGACAGTGCTAACAGTAGCGCTTTTGAGACCTGGCCCTGCATCAGGCATCCTGCATGACCATGTGGCCAGCTAGTGAGGCCCAGAGAAGGGAATGAACTGCCAGGCCTGGTCCAGTTCCCTCGTGGGGGCTCTATGCTGGCTAAGGCCACTGCTGAGCTAACTGTCCACAGTGGTTAGGAAAGGAGCCCCCAGTGATCTGTGGGATCTGGGTGCCTGTGGGGCCACAGCTGGGGGCGCTGGACCAGTCCCCAGGGAAGGAGACAAGACCTGTGCATCTGCTGGGTTTGGGAATTCCTGCCCTTGACTGAGCTGCTCCTCGCATAGGTGCCAGGGAGCTGGGGGAGTTTCACGCCTTCATCATCTCGGACTTGCGTGAGCTCCGGGGTCAGGCTGGTCAGAGTATCTTGCTGCTTCGCATTCAGAACCCCTGGGGCCGGCGTTGCTGGCAGGGGCCCTGGAGAGAGGGGTGAGTGCAGTTGGGGGCCATCAAGGGGGGGTGGTGTGCAGGCTCAGGGATATCCTGGGCCCCCATGCCGTGGTTGGTGCCATGGTAGCTCTGTGGTCAGGATAGCGCTCAGTTGGCTCCCAGCAAGGCCCCCATAACCCCAAGGCCACATGGTCTGTACTTGGCCTCAGGTGGTCTAGGAGGCTGGCTTAGTGCTTGGTACTGAGGGTGCCCATAGAACAGTAGACACCCAGTCAGGCTAAGGGACAGGGACCTATGAGATGCCTACGCTATGTCCTCAGCTTGGCTTTAAGACCCATAACTGATGGACGAGGGCGCTGCGACAGTCCCCTTAGGTGGCCGGGGTGGTGAGCAGATGTCACACTTGGTCTGAGAAACCACGCCTGAAGCGATGGGCAGATGTCCTGTCACTGCTCACTGACCCATTCGCTCAGCCAGGTCATGTGGTAGGAGCAGAGGTGATGGTCCTGAGGAAGGTTCAGCCCAGGGCAAATGGAAGCGTGGGAAGGGGGCCATGGAGTTTGGCCCCAAGGTGCTGGCAGGGACAGGGCTCTCAGGACACCCTCTGTCCCCTCTGGCTCCTCTTGCCCCACTGCACGGTCAGTGCTGTCACTCTCAGATGAGAGATCTCTGATGACTTGAGTTTCCTGCCAGGGGTGAAGGGTGGACCCAGGTGGACCCAGTGGACTCGGCGGAGCTGCTGTCCCAGCTCCAGGAAGGGGAGTTCTGGGTGGATGAGGAGGAGTTTCTCCGTGAATTTGACGAGGTCACCATTGGCTACCCGGTCACAGAGGCTGGCCACCTGCAGAGCCTCTACTCAGGTAACCAGTGCCATTCCTGGGGCAGCCTTTAGGGGTGCAATGCGGCCACCCAAATGGACTCTACCTTCAGAAGTCAAACCTGAGCAGGCGCCTGCGTCCCCCTGCGGTGGCTCCCGGTGGGGGAGGCAGGTGTCTGTGAGGGTGGGGAGCCTAACCTGTGGTGTGCTCTTGCCCTAGAGAAGGTGCTCAGCCACACTCAGGAGCTGCCGGGGGCCTGGGTCCCGGGGCAGTCCGCAGGAGGCTGCCGGAACAACAGCGGCTTTCCCAGCAACCCCAAGTTCTGGCTGCGGGTCTCAGAACCGAGCGAGGTGTACATTGCTGTCCTGCAGAGGCCCAGGATGCGCACGGTGGACTGGGCTGGCCGGGCCCAGGCACCAGTGGGGGACAGCCGTGTGGTGTGGAGCCCGGCGAGCATCCTGGGCAAGGACTACCCTGCCGTGGGTCTGCATCTCTGGAAGGTACCTCCGCTGGGCCAGCTTCCCACTCACTGACGTACAGGTCCCAGGATGGGAGGCACGTGGATGTCTGAATCCTAGGAGCTGCCGTGCTGGGATACACGTGACTGACAAGAGCCCCACAGGCCTCCCCCCTGCCCTGGCTGTCCTGGGGATCATGTGCCTGTGGGGGCTCCCACAGACCCGGCACTGGGAGGACTGGGTGTGTCTGTGGGCCAAAGGAAACCAGAACCAAAGGCTCGAGTCGGCGGGGCTCTGGGGGCTGGTGTTTGTGGAGGTCTGAGCCCAGCTTGGCCACTTCTTATGGGACCTGGAGAGGTCACTCCACCCTCCCTGCGCCCTCAGTCTCCTCCCTATCAGGTGGGGATGGTGACGGCTGATCCTGTGGGATTGTGCAAGGAGCCCTCTGGACCCCAATGGAGATGCCTGTCCTGGGGACAGGAGCATGGCTGGTGCAGGAACTTGCCTGTTTGCTGCCAGGGCCTAGTTTTTAGTCTGTATGTCCTGCCAAGGTCTCATAGCACAAGGCACAGTGTTCCCTGTCCCTCTGTGGGTGTGGCTTACATTGTGCTCCTTTCCTCCTGCTGAGTTGCTGGAAAGCCTTTTATCCAGCAGCCCCAGGTTGCAGTAGCCGTGGGCACAGCCCTTTTGCATCTGTGTGTCCTGGAGCAGGAGGTCCTGCAGGCTCTCATGGGGACAGGCTGAGTGGAAGCCCAGGGTCATGGGCATTTTCAGCCGGCCCTTGGGAGGTGGAGTGCTTTCATGTGTTAACTCTTTGGGGAGAGGCCCTGATGCCAGGAGTGGGTGGGGCGGGTCTCTGTGAGTTCCCACACAGGCCTCCTCTCCACAGGTGGAGAAGCGGCGGGTCAGCCTGCCCAGGATCCTGTCCACACCCCCTGTGGCTGGCACTGTGTGCCATGCTTATGACCGTGAGGTCCATCTCCGCTGTGAGCTCACCCCCGGCTACTACCTGGCCGTCCCCAGCACCTTCTTAAAGAACGTGCCAGGACAGTTTTTGCTCCGGGTCTTCTCCAGCGGGAGAGTCTCCCTCAGGTGAGGGGCCTGGCCATTTCTTTGGGGGCCTGTGTGCTCCTGCCTTGATCAAGGCAGGCCAGACGGTGCCTTTAGCCCCCGTCCTGTGCTTGTCTTTCCCGGGCAGTGCCATCAAGACAGTGGTCCAGAGCACTGGCCCTGGGGAGACCCTGTTGGCGGGGGAGTGGGAGACTGTGCAGCTGCAGGGCTCCTGGAAGATCGGCCAGACGGCCGGGGGCAGCCGGAACTTTGCCTCCTACTCCAGCAACCCCTGCTTCCCCCTCACGATCCCTGAGGGTGCAGGCCCCCGCTGCGTCCGGATCACTCTGCACCAGCACTGCCTAGACAGCGACTGCCACCCCATCGGCTTCCATGTTTTCCAGGCAAGCCCTGCGAGCTCTTGGGGGTCGGGGGGAACTGTGAGCCAGGATGGGGGGGGGCATGATGTGGAGCCCTGGACTTGGTCATTTGGGCATGTTGCCCAGGCTGGCCGGTCATGTGCATGACTCATTTCTAGGTTTCATAAAGTTTGTAATCCACTGGGGGTCACAGGTAGCTCAGGCATCCGCTTGTCCCTTTGCTCTGGCTCAGAACAACTGTGTCATGGGGTCAGTTCTCCCCAGGACGGTGCCTCCCACTCAGGAGGCCCAATGGCATCACTCGGGAGTGATAAGTCAAACACCAGCAGCACCCCAGAGCTGTGTAACCCTGCCCTCTGCCCATGGCCCGCAGCATGAGGCATTTTTCCTGGGTGCGTGTGTGCCCCTGAGAGCCAGGGAGAAGCGGATGATGGCAAAAGTTTGTGGCGAAGCGCAGTAAAGGGGGTATGGGGAAGGCCACACTGGCTGAGACCATTGGGGAATTGACAGCCACTCTGCTGCCCAAATGGCGCTGCCAGGAGTTTCAGATCAGAAAGAAAACACAAAGCCAGGTGGTGGTGAGGAGCTCGCAAGGTCCCCGAGGTTCTCGGGGCCAGGCAGCTCAATTAGGGCTACAGTGGGCTCAGCTATGTGAGGTGGCTCCTGAATCCCAGACAGGTCCACGGAAAGAGGGGGCTTCCAGGGACTCAGGCTGAAAGTATGTTGTCCCACTTTCTACCTAGAATGGCTGTGAGCCCAGAGGAGTCCAGAAGGGGGTGCTGCCAGTGAGTCATAGCCACCCAGAGTGCCTTCCTTGGCGGTCGGCTCTCTCCCACCATGTAGGCAAAATGCTTAGCAGACCTGTAGTTAGAGGAAGGGGAGAAGTCAGAGGTTGCAGGCCCAGACCGCATGGCCAATGAGGCTCCCCATCCCACAAACTGTTGTGCTCCCGGGGGCCCAATTCTAGACGGGCAGGGTGAAGTGGCCGGTGTTCCAGGATCTGAGGGGGGAAGGGACACACGAAGCCTGGAGCACAGGTGATCTGGGGGGGAGGGTAGGATTTTCTGATTGAGAAGGTTCTGTACCCTAGAGAATGGGCAGAGCTGCTGAGAAACGCCCACTCCCAGGAGCTTGGGGAAAAGTGCCAATGGCCAGTAGGTGCCTCTGGGCCTAAGCAGGGGCAATTTGGGTGGTTCCCAGGCATGGGCACCTGACACCTGATGGGGTTTCCTGGCAAGGGTGGCAGGGCCTCAGTGAGTAGTGAGCCCAGCTTTGGGGAGCTGTTGCTCCTCCTTGGAAGGGGGCGCATGTATGGTGGGGGACCAGGCATGAAGCCCCAGGAGGTCCAAGCAGACTGCAGCCGGGGCTGCTCCAGCCCAGCACACCCTCAGCATGTCCCCAGACGGGGCTGCTTTGGGTCTGGGAAAGAGCAGCCCAACTGAGACTGAGGACAGTGGATCTCTCCACCTGCCCCATGGACAGGCTTCCTAGTCAGTCTGTGCCTCTCCAGGTTCCAGCGGACAATGGGGGCCAGGGCACGCCTTCCCTGCTGCTCCAGAAGCCTCTGCTGAGCTGTGTGCCACATTGCTACACCCAGGAAGTGAGCCGCGTCTGCCACCTGTCTGCAGGGACCTACAGGATTGTGCCCTCCACCTACCTGCCAGACACAGAGGGGGCCTTCACAGTGACCATCGCAACCAGAATAGACAGGTGGGGCTGTGGCGGGCTGTCGTCCTGAGGACCTCAGTGCCCACCTTCACCGTGTTCTCCTGCCTGCCTCACAGTACCTGGGGACTCCTTGCCTGTCAGCCTATGGGCGTGTAGATGGGCCTGAGTGCTGGGGCGGGGCCCTGGGCTGACCCAGGTGTTCTTTCCCACAGGCGCTCCATTCACAGCCAGGAAATGCTGGGGCAGCTCCTCCAAGAGGTACATGGGGCCAGGGAGGGGCTTCCTGGTGTCCTGGGGCCTTCATTCCCCAGCCTCTCCCAGTGGGCCACACTGCGGACTGGGCTGTGTCCTGAGGCATGAGGTGCACTGTGTCTTCCCCGCTGTCCAGGGCAGCCACTGCCCACACCTCACCATCTCTCCTTTCACAGGCCTCCTTCATGGCAGTGATGAAGACCTAACTGGATAACCCCACTGGAGTCCTCAGAGGCCTCCCTTGGCCCACGATGTCCTCACACAGCATCCTTGCACGGTGCCACCAGCCTCAGTGCTGTAGCTGCCAGTCCTGCACTGAGCAGCTGCATGTGCCTGTGGCACTAGGTGAAGGTTCCTCATCCTGGAGAGAGGCAGCCCCAGGGTCAGGCAGGTGCTGCAGGGAGAGCAAGAAAGGCCCAACTCGAGTGTCCTGGTCCCCAAGCCATGACAGCAGCTCCGTGGAGTCCCTCCGGGCTCCAGAGAGGCCTCAGCTGACAGACGAGTGTGTCAGCACACAGCTGTTTGCAGCACTTCTGGATGTAACTTTATAAATAAACAGGAATACTGAGCAGTTCACAGATGTCTTATTTCAGGCAGGGAGACACTGGGAGGATCGCAGCCTCCAAGGCGGGGAGGTTCAGGGAGGAGGAGGGTGGTGAGGAGACAAGGTTGGGAGGGTCGAGCAGGATCTGGTGCACAGGGCAGGTGCAGGAAGGATGCTTCCTGCCATCTCCCCATCTGGCAGCCTTGCCATCACCAACCAAATGGTATTCCCAGGTTTGGAAAGGCAGGCACCGGAGAACTCGAGGCCTGGTGTTCCGCTGTGCAGCGTTGCGTCATGCAGTCAGTGCTGACACTTGGAAGGGGATGTGCCTGAGACCCCTCCCCATATCCGACACAGCAAACCCCATCTTGCCCCTCCGACTCAGTCCACATCATGTCAGCATCAGCCAGGGCATCCAGCCAGCTGAGTGTCTGTCCTGGGAAAAACTGGCACTGCCTATTGTCCTGTCCGCACAAGTGATCTGCTTCTGAGCTTTCCCAACTGCCCTTCATAGCCACACCCTGTACCTGAGGCCTAGTGATCTCTGGACTGGGGCTGCCCTGCGGTGGAACCTCCAGTCCATAGGGGCCACACGAACTCTAATGGAGGCACAATGGAGCCACCACTCCCACATCTTCAGGGAGGTCCTCGTGTTCAACCCCTGTGGTGCCAGTGTTACCATTGTAATTAGTTATTAGTATTAATAAGAAAGGAGCAAAGGGGAGGTCAGACATTATAAGCATAGCCATCTGGGCAGCTTCCCAGGGACCTGCAATTTCACACCACCAGGGAACCACCAGTCCAGTCCCTGCACGTCTCTGGCAGAAAGGACTGGACAAAGAAAGATGGGGGTATGGGCAGTGAAGTGGGTGATGTAGGGAAAATACTTGCCTGTCAGTCTAACCTTAGAACAAAGATAATTGGCCAGAGGGGTGGAGCCACAGCAAGCCTGAGTAAATTTGGGAATATATAATCCTGAGACAAAGGGATTCACTCTTGTTCCTCTGGCTTCCTTTGCTCCTGTGTCCTGCTTCCTTTGCTCCTGTGTTCTCTCCATAGCCGTGTGGCCCTAGAAACTACAAGGCCCATGGCCATGTGGACCCTGCACACAGTGGGCTGCAGCTGGAACACAGGCTAAGCTAGCCAGATGCTGCCCTGGACTGTGCACATATGGAGTGGAAACGACACTGGCTTTAATCCTAGCTTTGCTGAAGACAAAATAGGACTTTTTCCTTGGTGGGACAGAGGAAAAGGGGAACTTGGAAACTCGGGTTTAATTCCACACAAATAAACACCACTTATTCTCTCATGTGAATCTCAGAAAAGTCCTTTTCTTGTGACATCACAAGAAACCTACTTCCACAGGCGATAAGCCGGGACACAGAGAGCACCCCACCGATAACACTGGCTTTGATTGGTGTCTGTAGGGTGGAAAGGTTTCCGTGTCCCCTTGGCCTTCCTGACTGACATGCCTGACCCACCAAGGGTGCTGGTCATATGCCATGTGCCAGCCCCAATTATGTGCTTAGAGACTAGGAAGTGACCCCAAGAGCCCACTGTCACCACTGATTGGTCAAGCCAGCTGTGCACCTCTGCTCCGGGCAGATCGCTGGCCCTGGGGGCTGCTCCAGCTGAGGAGCCTGCAACCTCTGGGCTTTGTCATCCATCCATCTTCTGTTTTCCACTTATTTTGCTGGAAGCAGTTTGATTACATGAAAAGTGAGAAAGCCAAGCATTATGTCACCCATTAAGATTCCCCGCAGGGGTTGCCGAAACCGGTTTGGCTCAGTGGATAGAGCGTCGGCCTGCGGACTGAATGGTCCCGGGTTCGATTCCGGTCAAGGGCATGTACGTTGGTTGCGGGCACATCCCCAGTGGGAGATGTGCAGGAGGCAGCTGGTCGATGTTTCTCTCTCATCGATGTTTCTAACTCTCTATCCCTCTCCCTTTCTCTCTGTAAAAAATCAATAAAATATATTAAAAAAAAAAAAAAAGATTCCCCGCAGGGTGGCCCTATGTATGTGTGTGGGGGGGTGGGGGGTGGGGGGTGGGGGGCGTACCAAAGGAGGAGGCTGTGGTAGACAATGTGAGATGCAGTTAACTGCCCCCATCACATCTGGGCAAGGGGCCCAGAACTCTCAAAGGCAGGGGCTAGCCTTTGCGGGGCGGAGGGGTGAGAGTGGCAGTTGGAGTTGGCTCCTCCCCCAAACCCTTGGGTGACTCACCCTTTCCCCTCCGAGGCACCCTGGCTGTGGCGGGATCTGGGGACAAGCCTTGGTCTCTCGTTGGGTGGTGGGGAAGGACTTTTTTGGCAGAAGGCCCAGTTGGGGCCCCACTGCAGGCTGGTGAGGCAGTGGCCCTCCAGGCTTCCAGGACCTGTGTGGTTGGGGCAGTCGGGCATGGTCTCCAAGCCCCTCCCAGCCAGCCCCTCCTGCCTGGGCCTGAGCTGGCCTTATATGGACCTTACAGACACAGGCAGAGCTTAAGGAGACCTTCCCTGGGCAGCCTCTGCAGCCACAGGGCCTGGGTCCACTCAGTGCAGCCAGTCTCTGGTCTTCAGTCTCTGGACTCTATCTAATGTCCTTACTGAAAACCTGTCTGGGCTCTGTCCCCATTCACAGTGTGCCCCCACACCCCCATCCTGGCTCTGGCCCTCCGGTTTGCCCTGGAGTCCTTGGTAGCCTGGTAGGGGGTGTGGGCCAGCCTGTCCAGAGGAGTGGAGGAACATGCGCTGTTCCCCATTCTTCCAGGGTCTGAGCAGGTCCCCCTCCCGCCCCATGGCCTATCTCCTATGCCTGAGACACCTGGGCCTCAGTCTTTGTATTCTCACGTCTGTGACTGGTCCAGAGCCCAGTGCAGGGCAGCCTGGGCTGAGCTGGGGCTCCATGGAACCCAGAGAAGCCTGCCCAGCCAAGCGGAGTGCCAGCGCTGAGCCCAGGGCTATGTCCAGCCAGAGCCAGGCCATCTGGGGTCCATCCCCAGATGGCCTGCGGACCTGCCAGTAGGGGGTGAAGACTGCCTCCCTCCTGTGCACAGTAGCCCGCAGTCGCAGTCGGCAGTCGTAGCGGCAGGTGTGGGTGTGTGCAGGTAAGAACAGCTTTCCCGCCCTTCTCAGCAGACTTTGCCCGCTTTGTTTGCAGTTTCTTCTCATTTTCACTTCCTGCTGCAGAGGCATGGTACCTTCTCCGGGGGAGCCCTGTCCTACACAGTCCTGGTCCCGGGTCTTCTCTCTAATGTCTTCGCCCACCCTCCCTCCCCCCGGCCTGGATCAGCGTGGGGGGTGCTAGAGCTTCTGCGGTGAGTACTGAGACCCCGGGGCCCTGCGAGCAGGTAGACAGGGAAGGGCCCTGGCCTGCCAGACTTCCTGGACAGGAGGCGGGATGGAAAAGGCGCAGGGACAGCCAGACTGCAGCCAAATTCTCATCTGTTCCAGGCTCTCTTCTCTCTGTCTCTTTGTTCACAATAATTCCTTGCTCAGTGTCCCATGGATGCTTCATTTGATTTTCCTGGATTTCGCCCCCAACATTTAACAGATTTAAACTGGTTTTGCTGCATTTTGAGGTGAATAGAAGAGTCATGTTGCTCCTGGGAACACTTTGGGGTCTTTGGACATGGCTGTGCTCCTTATGGGGAGGGTCTTCTCCAGGGTTGAGGATGAGTTTGGGGACAGGCTGTGCCCACCAGCTCCCTCTAGTATTCAGTTCTGCGGGTCTGAGGTCCCCGGGTAGTCCTGACAAGGAGGTGGCAGATGATGTGTGGGGATGGTCCCTGATTAGGGTCAGCCAGGAGCAGGGCAGAAGCTGGCAGGAGCTGGGCATCCTCAGGGAATGAAAAGGAGCTCTCTGTGCCTGCAGCGCAAGTGGGAGAGGGGTAGGTTCAGAGAACATGGCGAGCGCTAAGGCTGGAGGGGTAGGTAAAGGAAGGGCCTTGAGGCCTTTTAAAGAGCTTGGGTCTTTTCTCTTGGGCAGGGGCAGACATTGCAGTTTTAAGCAGGGCCCGGTGTAAATTTACTTGACATCTCCCTCTGACTGAGGTCTTGGGGATAGATTGGAGGTTGGGGACCAACTTGAGACATCCCAGGAACACATGGTGTGTCCTAGCTGGGCGGGAGGTGGTGGAGGCCGAGAGAAGAGGTCGGTGTCTAGATATGCCCAGGAAGCAGAACCAGCAGACATGACACTTGAGGCTTCAGGGTTTGATTGTATAGATCAGTGGTCGGCAAACTGCGGCTCGCAAGCCACATGCGGCTCTTTGGCCCCTTGAGTGTGGCTCTTCCACAAAATACCACATGTGGGCGCGCACGTACAGTGGATTTGAAACTTCATGGTCCATGCGCAGAAGTCGGTATTTTGTGGAAGAGCCACACTCAAGGGGCCAAAGAGCCGCATGTGGCTTGCGAGCCGCAGTTTGCCGACCACTGGTATAGATCAATATGAGAATCCATGAGCATGATATACCTCTCCATCTGCCTTCATCTATGGCAGTGGTTCTCAACCTTGGCTGCACATTAGAATCACCTGGGAATCTTTTTAAAATCCTGATTTCTGGGCCTCATCCTCCAGAAATTCTGTTTCTTTGTTACTAATGTTGTGGCCCCACCCCATAACAAAGAAACAGAATTTCTGGAGAATGAGGCCCAGAAATCAGGATTTTAAAAAGATTCCCAGGTGATTCTAATGTGCAGCCAAGGTTGAGACCCACTGATCTATGGAGACCTTCTTGAGTCTCTCTCAGCAGTATTTTGTAGCTTTGAGCATACATGTTTTACTTTATTCTTAAGTACTTTGTTTTTTTCCTGCTTATAAATGCTATTGTATTTTTAGTTTCCTTTTACAGTTGTTTGTTGCCAGAAATACATTTTTTTGTGTCTATTAATCCCATAGCCTATAACATTGCTAATTC